GGGTTATTACTGGCATTTGGGACAATTACATTGACCAAGTTGAGCTATCAAAACTGTAAGTGGACTTCTCCAAATGATGTAAGCTACAATTTCCAGCATTCCTCACTATTGATCAAGCTGATAAGAACTGCTGGAAGTTGAAACTGAACAAAAATCAAACAGGTCATATGATTTCCTTCCTGGTTTACACCAAGAATTTCTCAGTGCCTCTTGAATGGAAGACTCAGTGATTTTCCCAAATAATTCACTGTTAACATGAGAATTGTCTTGGATTTGCTGACAATATGATAATAAAGGCAGATGAGCCTTTTCTGTCCAATCTGTGTTTAGAGGAAATTGCTTAAATTCAGATCACTTTCCTGGCGGTGTTAGGATAGTCTGAGTTGATGCAGGAAGCAGAGTGCCAAAGTGGTAAATAGACACTCAGAGGATATTTTAGGGCAGTGGTGGCGAACCTATGGCACGTTTACCAGAGGCGGCATTCAGAGCCCTCTCTGTGGGCACGCACGCCATTGCCCCAGGAGAGTTCGCCAGAGTAGCGAGCATGTGGCGTTTGGAAGCAACGGGGCAGGAAGTGAGCGAGCAAGTGGCGTTGGCCCCCTGGGGATGACCCGGAGATGGTGAGGGACTGGTCCCTGCCACCCTGGTCCCGGCCCATCCATCTTGGCCACGCCCACCCAGTCTGCCGTGACCACTGCAGCTGTGACCACCGCAGCCATGCCCACCCAGTGGGCCACGCCCCCCCAAGAGCACCACAATGCGGATGCAGCCCTGGCACTTTGCAATAAATAAGTGGGTTTTGGGTTGCAGTTTGGGCACTCAGTCTCTAAAAGGTTCGCCATCACTGTTTTAGGGAATAGGAGAAGGGTTATGGACTCTAAAAAGGAAGGCTTGAAGCCTGTTGCCAAACCCCACCATAGTTTCAAATATTTGACGTGGCAAAATAAATTGAACTCAGACAGCTATAAATTCTAGTCTAGAAGTATAGCTCAGTGGTGGTGGAAAAGCTTACAGCCACAGGGTCTGGAATCAGCAGACAAGACAACACACATATTTCTGCTAATTTATTGCAAATGGGAATAATGGGATCAGGGATGTTACTACAGTCAGTGTTGCACTTTTGTCACCACCTCCCAAGTGAAAATATCGGTTCCTCTTCAACATTGAGCTGCTAATGGAGAAGAATAATGAAAGGATAAGAGAGCTTGAAATAATTAACTTTGTGGGCAGATGGAGAGAGACACAAAATCACGTGGCAGGCATGAAGTTCAGCCGGTTGAGGAACTAGAGATGCCAGAAACCAGTCCAGCCTCACCCCAGCCTTGATTTCCAACCTCATTTCAGGGCAAGTCAATCTCTAGATCGATCTTTCCATCCTGTGCAGATGCTTTGAACAGCAACTCTTATCACTACTAACTAGTGGTTAAGGTACCTAGGAAAAGGTTGGTTTTGTAATCTAAAATAGATAAAGGCAATTAATTGGGAAAGTAATAATTGGGCCTTTCCATAGGATAACAGTTTAGAAAGGCAAATAATATGGTCAAATAACTGATTTTTTTTGGTTTAGCATACTACAGAGTTATAAATTTTGTACTGAGTAATGAAAATTGTGCAAGATGCTTACTTGATGTCCATCAAACCGGTTTAATTCTGTACTTAGTCTTAAATTTATTCTAATACACTAGATCAGGGGTAGTCAACCTTGGCTCTTTTATGACTTGTGGACTTCAATTCCCAGAATTCCTGAGCCATAAAAGAGCCAAGGTTGACTACCCCTGCACTAGATTCTGCAAAACATTGTAACAAACATTCCACATTATTTGGTTTAGAGAACTGATACCTTTTAGTTAATAGGAAAGAACCAGAAATATGTCTTTTTTTATAAAATTCAGCTGGGTCTTTAAGAGGATTGTACTATTTGCTGATCTATGTGCTACATAATTTAATCTCATTTTTTTCTATTGAGTTTTTACCATTTTACATGTTACTATTTATTTTTTAAATATTTACTCCCCATCAGATTTCTAGGCTTTGTATATTTAAAATAAAAAATTAAGATACAACATATGTTACAAATAGCAACCGGAAATAATTAAATTATGCTGTCGTAAGCTCTCAAATGCTAAGATAAACAAAAATGTTAACCTAACAATAAAATTGTATCAGCTATTGTAGAAAGTAAAGGTATAAATGGCTGTTTTCATACAACTCACAGAACCATAAACTCACTGATCATACTTTAATCAACCATGTGAAGCAAATTCAACCCATCTAGTTAATTTATGACTCTATGTGCCATGTAAATTCAAACTTAGGAAAATCTGATAAATCATGGACAATTATGGGTAGTGCCTATTGTCTGAACCCACCTATAAGTAAATAGTAGAGACAAGGACTGTAGGAAAAGGCATGGCTGAAAATTACAAGGGTCTCCGTGTGGTCTCTATTGCAATATTTTCTTTACAGAAAGACTAGACTCCTATGAGGAAGTTGCCAGGAACAGTATAGCATATTGTTGATCCAAACTTCTGTACAATTTAATCCTGTGCCAATTATTTGGGTAGAGAGCTGTCATTCCTGTTCTGTGTGCTAGTACTATGCACATAGATCAAATATGCACAGAAGGTAGAACAGGATTTACTGGTAGGTCTTTGGATGATACGCAGTAGATCAGCAAAGTTTTTGACTTAGCAGCAGTTTAACATAAGCAAATAAAATGGAAAATTAAATTACAGTAAAATTTGCAAAGTGTAGTTTTATGCTAATCCTGTATTACTAAAGATACTAAAAGTACTACTTAGTTGTGTTTGGAACTGCTTAAAATTAGGGAAGTCTTGTATTCAAATCTCCCGATCTATATAATTTAGATGTAGTTTCTATTCACACACAAAAGTAGTAAAACAGAATACAAGTAGCCTTTGACTTACAACTGTAACTGAGCATGGAATTATGGTTGTAAATTGTGGCAATCACCATATGACTCTGCCTGATTTGAACAACCATTTGTGTGGTGGTTATTAAGCAAACACTGAAATAGTTAAATCTATTTTATCCAATAGATTTGGAAACAATGGAACCCCCCCCAAAAAAAACCAACCCAGCAAAAACCATAATTGTATGATGGTCTATATGTGAGCCAATTGCCAAGCAGTCAAAATACAATTATGTGGCTATGGGGGGGGGGCAGTACACAACCATCAGAATTTTAGAACTACCTTTTTGGAACACATTATAACTTTGAATTGTTCCTACGTGACTAGTTGTTAAGTAAGGACTACCTGTAAACCTCACTATGCCTTCTATTTTCCTTCTGCAATCCAATTTTTAATCAGTCTTTGATCAGTGGATTTTCATAGTAAAATGAACAAGCCAAAAAGAAGTTATTAAAGCATAAAATATGTCTACTTCTGATCATAATTAATCATATCAACAAATAATCCAACACAACTCTCTCTCTCACACACACACCCCCACACACCCCCACACACCCCCACACACACCTGATACCCTTCAAAAATTGATTGGCCATTTTGGGAACTGAAATCTAACTCCTCTGGAAGAAAGTAGGTTGGGGAAGAGTGTCAGGGCAATTGTCTTATTCACCACAAATTTTAATATTCTTACCTTCCTTTACCCCACTCTCTTACAATATAGGAAGTGGGTTCAGAATCAGCATGCACATAACAAATAAATGAAGCAACTTTAATTACTGGGTGGGTCAGAGATATTATTGACAAGTAATAGCTATGTTTTCCAAACCTGATGCTTGCATTCATACAACATGCTTAGTACCACATGTGAACTCAGTCAAGATAAGGTGAGGGAAGAAAGGATTAACTCTCATCTGTCACATCTTCCTAGATCATTTCCTCTGACCCACAGTAAATTCCTTTATCCCTGCACCTTACCTTCTCTTCAAGAAGAGTGATGCTTATATCCTGCCAAAGGAAAGGAAGGAAACAGAACAATCGAAAAAGAATTGGTATAATTTAAATACACAAGGTATCTTGCCACAATGGGAAAGAGAAAGTCAGTTGAGGAGACTATCCAAGTGCTAGTAATGGCAGCTTCAAGCCTTTTATTTTCTTACAAATTTTTGCATGTAAAACCAGGTTGGGATCAACAATCCTTGAAAAAGACAACTGTGTTTTGTGAATTATGAGACATGGCCTCTTGTTAGCAGTATCCTCCTTTTCTTTTTATTTATGTAATCATTTGGCACTCTGGATAGAGAACCTAATTGTGAACATGGCACTTCTTCTAAAAAATAGCTAT